TTTTAAAAATTATACTTGTAATTTTATACTAACCAAATATTTTTTAACTTTTTGCTTGATTAGATAAAAATGTTATTAACTCATCCCATGCCGTTTGCACTTGTTCTTCAGTAACATCATGACTCCATAAAGTACACAGTACAACATTAGCTTCATTAACTTGTTCTAGATTGCTTGGTTGTGCTTGGATTCTTAATTTTGCATCAGCTTCAGTCAATCCATTTCTCTCTTTCACCCTCCTTATAGCCTAGAAATACAAAACTCAATTGTGTAATGAACTACATTCATAATAAATCTTATATGTGGTTAAAAAAATATATTGTTATGAAATATCTATAGTTTTAATTGCTGAATTTAACACTACCTCTTCTGGTGGAATGATGCAGGTCCATATTTCATGACACTCATGTTGCCAATTAGCTTGAATTAAAACAGCAGCTTCCATCACAATTATATCAAATCCTTTTGCATAAAAATCATTTACTTGTTTCTTTGCTTCTTCTAAAATTATGGGCCAAACGATTTTATTTAATTTATCTAATTGTGTCTAAAAGCAAATTTATACTTATAAAATATAAATTAAAAAAATAGTAAAAACATTAACCATTAGCACATAATATTAAAAAATGCAAGCTTACTTTATTATTAAATACTATATATCCAAGTGCTTTTCTATCAATAAATCCATCAGATTTCAGTATAGTGGGACCAAAAATTTCAAGTATTGCATCAAAACACTTCCTACCAGGTAAATATAAATCATGTGCTATTTTATCACAATTTACAAGACCTGCACCTAACTTTTTTAATTTATCAGCTACTGATGATTTTCCACTTGCTATGCCACCAGTCAAACCAATAATATAAGGTTTTAATGGTTTATCTCCTATTCTCTAAAACACAATAAGAAAATTAGAACTTTAACTTAGTAAAACTTAATGTAATACATACAGGAGCTTGAAGTTTTGTACCCAATAATCGTATTCTTTGATTACTAGAACTGATTTTAGTTTCTTCATGTTTTCTATGATTCTCATCATTTATTAATTTTGTAACATGAATATCTAATTTATTTAAATTATTTTTTGCACGCAATTCATTGACTTTGTCTGCTCCACGTTTTGTTTCTTCACTAACTACTATCAATTCCATTGTTGGATCATATTTGGTTGGACCATACATATCATTTATTGGCACAACATTATATGTTAAAGTTGAATCCACATCTTCCAAAAATTCTTTCAATTTTAGTATTCTTGTAGAACAAGGCTCTATGAGTTCCCCTAATAATTTTCCTGTAAAAGTAATTGATTGAGTTAACTGAAATGTGAATAACTTTTATTTTGGAAATAAGGTTTCAGAATTATTTAATAATCAATATACAAATTGTACTTCTTATAATATATGTTCACCCATAATAAAGTCTTACCAGACAACATATTTGTATCAGTTACACCAACTGTTAATTTTTCTGTGCAACGTATTATAGCTTCACTTAAAAATATTTTATGACCATTATGTATTCGATCAAATGTGCCACCAAGTACTACATTCTTGTAAGTCTTATTTTCATTAACATAAGATATTACATTATTTATTTTTTCCATTTTCTGATCATCATGAAAAATAACAAAATTACAGCCCATAGAGGTATTAGTTAAGTAATCTTGTATAAAAGTATCAGCTTCTTTCTTGCTACAAATTTGATCAAAAATAACTACTTCCACAGGCTTCTTAGTATTTATTATTGATAAATTAAAATTTTTCCTACTTGTAAGTAATACCCGAATATCAAGACATGAGGATATAGAAGATGTATCCACGTAAATATTCGAAATAGTTTGAATATAACGAGATGTTTTCCATTGAGGATTTGAAATCGTATGATTACCAGAAAGAAAAATGTTCTTTTCTGGAAAATACTGGATATACAATGTCTTTAACACATGTTTTTTAATAATCGGTAATAATTTTATCATCTTTGTAGGATTTGTTAAAACTAATAAACCAGTACTTGCCATCGTGTAAGAAAACCTGTACGGTTAAACTTTTATCTTCTCCTCCCTACTTTTAAAAAAAAATAACATGTCATGTACTATACTTCATACATAAACATTTTCACAAATTAATAACACCACAAACGAAGTATAGGTATTATCTCATATCTCATGTAATTAATGATTTCATAGTTACATTTAGTTTGACTTCCAATCATTACTAGTGTATCTATGCTGAATCGGTCATGTTGGAAATGATATGAAATGGTAATGATCGTTACCACAGACGAGGTACAAAATAGACCTATCACCTAATATATTTCTGTCTAACGTTCTGAAATACCGATCGTGTAAAAAATCAGAGGTTTTGTTATGCCCTCTACGATAACAGAGCGATGAGTTTAGGAATGTTAGGAATGATATGCAATCCAACCATCAACTCTCTATGTGAAGTTTTTTTTTTTGAGATTAATAAAACAAAAAGATGACAAAGTTGGCAGGTGTAAGTACTTAAAAGATCTTTCGTTAAATTCGTATGTAAAGATATTTACATATATTGGATTGCGTGGGTAGAACTTTGACGATCTCTCGAAAGCATTAGAACACATGCATAGGATGAATCAACCATTAACGAAAAATATTATGTTTATGTTTTTTATTATAGTATAATGAGGATTCTTTGAATTTTTCCCTTTAAATAATATTTATTGTAAATTAGAGTATAATTACATATACTAAGCAGATCAAAATTGATACATATAATAAATTTTTAATTGCTTTAACATTACCAATATGTAGATAGTAAAATAAAGTTTCTGGTTTATTTTCAAATACTTTAATTATAGAATAATTAATGTTTGCTGTCAAATAACAATTTACATGGTTGTTTATAATTATTGGAAGTCTTAAATAAAATTATTGTATGCTTTAACTTAATAAAACAATTTAATATACTACTTCTGCATTGAATTAACCATTGTATTCAGTAGATTAATCAGAAATTGTTTATAACTTTTATTAAAAATTAAAAACATTAATATTCTTTTCGTATGAATTACAGATGGACCATCTAGGACACCATAGAAAAAATCAATTATTTATTGTAAGATAACTGTATAAAATATATCAGCCAGCATTGTTTTACAGCATTTTACAGTTAATTTATTTCTCCCTTACACACTATGTCCATTTAATTGTGCAAAGAGCTTATTCTTTAAACAATATTCCATTGCAAAATTAAATAAACTAAGTCCAGAAAACCGCTAGAAACACGTAAGTATTAAAAGAATCGAAAAGATCCCGAAATTCGAGCGAAAATAGCGTCCGGAATATAGACTTACAATTACTCGTCGCGTGTTAAAATTCTCGGAAAATCCTGGAATTGACGTCATTTCCAAGAATCGACATCTTTTCCAAAAGATAGGAGATTGAAAATAAGCCAGAAATTATATTTTACTATCTACATTATTAGTAATGTTAAAGCAATTAAAAATTGATTATAAGTATCAATTAAATATAATAGGGATGATGAGGATAGTATTAGAGAAATGAGTTAGACAAGGAAAGAAATAAGGGTAGACAAGGATAGCAATAATGCCGTGTGTTAGACAAGGAAAGATATAGTGATAGACAAGGATAAAAAATTTTCAAAAGTGAAACTATCGCCATCTCGCGTTAGGTGACGTGAACTACGATTTTCTAATAGGATTACAAAATATAAACAGAGGTATTAGACAAGGAAAGCACTAGTGTGCAAGAAGGATAGAGAGAAAACGTTTCCTATTGGTCCGCGGGCCGTAATGGCCGTCTCCCAGACGCTACATAAAGTCGGTTTGGGAAAAATCATTAATAACTCATTAATTAGGATGAAGTTGTGAACTTTTAAGATTGAAGAATGTAGTGTGGACCTTCAGAAATTTTCACATATAGATTTTATAGTGCTAAATCTGTTCAATAATTAGTTATTAACAATTTTAGTACGGGATGTCGGGAACGATATCGCATATCTTGACGGTTTTTCAATAATTTCAACGCTTTTTACTAAATTCTCATGCAACTAACTGTATGCGCCTGACAGGTAACTCCTTTAGCTACATTCTCATATAATTTTTATTAACATATTTGATTTAGTTTAAGAGTTATTAAACATTATATGAAAGAGTCCCCTATTCATCGTACTCGAGTATAGTCAACTATTATAAACATTTGCTAATATCTAATAAACTACATCACTTACGGCTACCAAACTAATTGCAGAATATATATAAAAGTCCATTCTACATTCTACATACTTTAAAGTGCATAATTAGTCATACATATCTATTGAAATAACGAAAATGTTTTACAATTGAATGCGACGAGGGTAATATTCAACCAAAGAATGTTAAATAACTATCAAACCACATGGGATATGTTAATAAAAATGATATGAAAATGTAGCTAAAGAAGTTGCATTTCAGATGCATGCAGTTAGTTGCATAAAAATTTAGTAAAAAGCGATGAAATTATTGAAATTCCGTGAATATATGCGATATCGTTCCCGATATCCCGTACTAAAATTGTTAATAACTAATTATTGAGAGGGTCTATTACACTAAGAACTATATATGAAAGTTGCTGAAGGTCCACACTACATTCTTCAAACTTAAAAGTTCACAAAATCATCCTAATTAATAAGTTATTAATGGTTTTTCCCTGACCGACTTGATACAGCGTGTGGGAGACGGAACATGGCGGCCCGCGGACCAATAGGAAACGTTTTCTCTCTGTCCTTCTCGCACACTAGTGCGTTCCTTGTCTAATACCTCTGTTTACATTCTGTGATCCTAGTAACGAGTTGTTAGTTCGCGCAGCCAAACACGAGATGGCGTTAGTTTCACTTTGAAATTTTTTTTTATCCTCGTCTAATCCTATTCTTTTCCTTGTCTTACTCATTTATGTATTGCTCAATACCTGGACGAGTTATCGTCACGATCACGATCTTTTGGCAGCAGTAGAAAACGCGTATGTGATGAATCGTCTCGTAATAAATAACTACGTTACTTTCTTATTTGCAATTTCATAGTTACGTTTCATTCTAATTCCAACTACTACGTTGAGAACAACACGAAAATGGTAAGGGTCTTCTCAGCCTCCATGCCGGAGTCACAAAGTCCTATACGATATTAGATCTATCTTGTACGTTGTCTATGTCATTATGCAAACACTATAACACTACAGGCGAGATGTAGGTATATATTTAAATATATCTTGTCTGTGGTAACATTAAAAAACTAGATTCTTTAATTTTAATTATAAAATTTAACAGTTATCATTTAATTTTTAACTTTATTAAAACTAATACGTACATATTTACTATTTTTAAACATAATACAAATTCATAGTAAGAAGATAATAAGATATTGACCAACTTTAAAAAATATTAATCAAACTGGCTATATTATACACTTAATTTGTAATTTAACATATTTTCATTCTTTTTCTAATTTAATATTGGTGGTGTAGAAGAGCATCGTAAGATCTTGTATGATGGGAGTTTACAATGTAAAATTAACCAGTGTACTAGTCTTGTATGATTACTACTAAATGTCATTTCTAACAAAATGTTATACCACTTATCTTCAAACCCAAATCCACATCCTATAAAAACATAAAATTACATAAAAATATTAAATCTGTTAATATTATGAATGAAGACTAAAAACCAATCAGGTAACTAACCTGTTTTTACAAGCATGTCAAGGCAAGAAAAATCATTTTCTGTTGGATTACCAAGAAAATAATAAATAGCCATGCACAAAGCATTTTCTCCTGTTATTGTAGTAAGAAAAGGATCAGCACC